GTTAATAATTTTTAAGGTAACCAAAAAGCTAGCTTATCTTTTTTAATAATAAAAAAAGGTGAAAGTTAAAACTCCAGCTGCAGATAAAACACAGTAACAGGCGTAGGTTCTAGATAGGATAAAATAAAACAAAACACAAAACAATTTTGTAATGGAATTATGGAAACATTACTTTTCATATGATGAGATAAAGATTCACCAAGGAATGACAGTAATTCCTCCATAGGAACACTGCATGAGTCACTCATTCAAAAAAAATGAAGTTAATGTCTTAGTAAGCAAACACAATGCCCAAAATAACTACCTTCTAATTATAATATTGTATATTCCTAGGGATATCTTAGCAACAGTTATTTCATTCATTATCATTAAAATTTCTAAACATAAAACATGTTCCAATCTTAATGCAATGCAAAATAAAGGTTAGAAAGTGAGAGTAAATGATCTGAGTAACACTCAGATACGGTGCTGAAAATAAAATATAATCAAATGAATTTATGAAGTTCATCAAGCAGGTAAGGACCATTGTCATGTTTAGAACAGAGGTTATGACAAGATCCAGCACAGAAGATCAATGTAATCTTAAGATGTAGGCATACAGAAAGTTATGACAATAAGAAAAAAAACTAACAAAAAATCCAAAGGATTACTCAATTCGTTTTTATCAATGATATGCTAATGCTGGAACAAAGCTACCTGTTCTATAAAGAAGCAATTTCTGTTTAGAATTTAGATCCTACACACATAAAAATGAACCATTTTGTTTTTAATGCTATTATCAGATCACCTTTAAAATAAATGCTACTATTTTCTTTCTCTATATAAACGTAATAAAACATGGCAAAAAGCAAGCTATTGACTAATGTCTGAATAGACTTGTAAGAAAAGGTGATGTAGGAAGGAACACGCAGAATCCTTCAGAAGAAAACTACTTTGAATAATAGTAAAATCATTGTGTTGGAAACTCTTGCGCTGAAGAGATCTGGGGGCTAGACTAAAATACAGGTTCAAAACAGTTATCTGCAATACTTTCAAAGTATACCACCCACTTGCTCGGGCAACTTGCTTCAACAGGACCACCTGCATGAGCAAGTACTACTAAAATTCAGAAAACACTATAGAAATGGGCTCAAAGGAGATGAGAGGATCATCTTGTGCAATGAGATGTATACAAAAGCAATTAAATGGAAAAAACATATCACAGTTATCAGGCTGACATATGCTGCACATATCCCAATCGAGCACCCACTGCCTCAATGTAAATCACACAAATGGCCCGAGATACACGATGAAAACGAATTAGTGATGCTTACGGGTTGTGATCTGCTATGTGCGTGAACTATGCTGCAGACGCGCTAAGTGCTTTAATACTCAGCCAACATGAGGTTTTGGTATTTAGAACTGACAATAGTGTTACAAGTTGAGAGCACATCATGTCAGGGGAGAATATTTGTCATTTGTACCTCACACCTCGTTTGCTGAACAACTACAAGCTCTAGATCACGCGGTCCACTAATAATCAAGACAGTCACTACCAGCTTCGTAATTTGTACCTGAACTAGGCACATCTATTTCAGAATATAGCAAACTGTAGCGTGTGCCCCCCCCCCACTGCTCGGTTAAACATTCAGATGGAATAAAAAAAAAAACCAAAACAAAGCAAAACAAAAAATCCCACAACACTTACCCCCTCCCCAAACCAGTAACCAAACCAGTCCCACTGACTTCTGTGGAATGATGCTGACTCAAAGCCTCCCATGGCCCAGATCCTGTAAGTCAGGTAGCCACATTGCTAAAACTAGAAAATATTAAACAAAATCCTGAGAAGAATCACAGACTTTCTATCTGGAATACCTCTGCCCCTCTCCTTTCTCCCTTGTCCCCAGCTTCTACTAGTACACTGATCTTTCCCAATACCAGGAAAAAACGTTTCTGCCTGGAACAACAGGAGTGCTGTATAGCTTTCAGAGCCAGTTTTTCAGCCCACATTTCTGAGAAACAGAAGTTCAGGTGAAAAAAGTCCAGAACATTTCCAGTGTTGACAACGCTCTTCAGTGGGGAGCAGGCTGACTTCAGTTATGACCCACAACTCAAGAGCTTTTCTGGCTTCGGGAATTAAAAGCATTTTTCTCAACTGCTGTGGAGATCACATGACCCTGCGTACATCATGTCAGGCTAGAGGAAGACTATGAATCATTCAAGAACCTCAATTTTCTTTATAAGGATTCAGTCTGTCAGAGTGAACAAAGCAGGCCAAGGTGGCCTCAGATGGGATTAACAGGAAACCTTCACAATGGAATAAACTGCTCTTTTATGACAGACTTCACATCGCCATTCCTTGGAGATGCTAGCATGGGGGTGGGGGTGGGGTGGGGTGGGGGAGAAGAAAACCAAGCAGGAATCCCACTTTGTTGTTGACAGTTGCTATGACTCAGAGGAACTAGCTGGAACTTGGAACTCATCAAATTTATTGTGGGAGACATTACTCTGTTAGCATGTACAAAGAGTTTGAAAGGAACATGCCGAGCATGCTTTAGGAGCTTCTGGTTCTGCCGTGACAGCTAAGAAACCCAACTGCATAGCTTCCAAATAAATAAATAAACCCTCTTAAATAAATAAATTACTCCAAAAGCAAAACCACAAGTCTAAAAGTAGTTTGGTTCTGGATGCAAAGAGTCCTATCACTTATCTTCAGGCCCTACCAGCCATACCTTCAAGTCACGTAAACATCTGGGATAAACAAGAAAAATATGAGGCCGCACAGAGTAAATCTTCAAGTATTCATCCAGAAAAGCAGGGGATTTTAAAAAGGCCTAAGTAATTTGCTTGCTATAAATAGCAGTAAGTAACTTTAAAAGGTACAGATTATGAAAATATCTGAAGCTTTTAAAATATTGTTTCCACTGAGATTCACACGAAGCTTTGAGCATTCCCTTCTGTTTTGCTGCATGAGATGCACCTTGGGTTGGACGGTTCTGTGTTTCTGAGTCACCTTGTGCACTGCCTTCTACCGAAGCTGCTTGTTCAATCAATCCTGATGGTTTTGTGGAGAGTGCACCATAAAAAGGTAATACTGACGTAGAGCATTTTCCTCAGTCATTTGCTGACGACTTGTGGATGCAAGGTTGACATGAAATAATTTTTCTTGATTTTTATAGAACAGTGGCAGTTTTACCCTATGAGGCCTCATTCTGAGAATAGATTTTTGATGGTAGTCTCATGCTTTTTTAGAACACTAACTTTGACACTTTAACTTTGACAAAAATGTGAAGATTTTTATGGCCAATGACTTTTGCCTACGATGTTCTGCACGCAGCTTTGCTTGTACAGTATTTTGCTAAGCCACCGTTTGCAAAAATGAGATTACTACTTGTAGGGAACTTGTTAGACATTTCAGAAGCTTAGCATTCCAAGTTCTTAAATCTCACATAAAATGCATGCAAAATCAGGTAAAACTCAACCAAATACAATCCTCCCTCTTTCCCCTGGGCACAGGAGGTGAGAGGGGCAAGGAGAGAACCGAGAACAAATGAACCTGGGAACTATTATCATCTAGTTAAGCACAGGCAGAAATTAGATTTTACAAAACGTCAAACCAAAACAAATTAAAATAATCTCCCTGAAAAGCAAGACATAACTTATTTCCATCATCCATTGTAGACAGAAAACTAAGTGCCTACGTGAAAAGTTTGTGCTCTCTATTCAGCCATTCTGGACAGGAACAAATTCCTAACTTTGGAGCTGTGGGGCAACCTACCCCCTTTTTGCCTACACAGTGGTCTAAAACTCTTGCTACAGAAGCAGTTATAAAAGCTTGCTATACAACTGAATACATACACAGACTCAAAGGGTTGTCTTCAGTTTATTTAGTAACATAAGCAATTTTCCAAAACTGCATAAACTGAAGTTTCCTTTGCAAATTGCTTAAAAAGAAAGTTATGCAGAAAAGCCAGGAAGTAGGAACAGTACTTTGGGAAATGCAGGAAGCATGGAAATTACTAAGGGGAACACAAATTTCAAACAAACAAATAAATGAGCAGAGGGAAGCTATAAATGTCTGTACCAGTGAAGGGAGACACTTTTCAGATAACTCAAGTGCCAGATGACTGTGACTGGGGATGCGTGGAAGAATTACACTTAATTTTTCAAGGCTTTTTTACTGGAAAATTTCTTAGGCTCTATTATATGCACTGTTCACTTCGTAATTATTACACTTACTTCTACCACTAATAATGTGCATAAATCTACTGTTTGTCATGTTCATAAAGCACTTAATAAACCTCCTCTGAAAGAAGGAAATTGCACAGCTTGGAAATCCACTAACTTGGAGAGAGAGGGAAAAAGAAGCTATTCTTAGCATATACACATCACTCCTAGTCCTCTGACCTGTCTGCGGTGGTTCAACCAGAGGTGACATGAGAGCAAATGCATATGGCACCTGCCTGGAAAGGTATTTGAATAAACACAGATGTGCCCTGACAGCTACTTGAAACATAAATACTTTCCAAGCTGAAATTCCAGTAGTGGCCAATCTGTCAATAGTCAACATTACTGTATATCTAGAAAAGCATTCACCCACCACTAAAAAAGGGTCATATTTGGAACAGACTATATTAGGCACTCTGCCCTGGTGGATTCTGTACAACAGGATATCAGACAAGGAGAGAAGAAGGTTTACAGACTGCAATGAGAGTGGATGTTCATTTTCATTTAAATATAACAGTCTCAGCTGGAATATGGTCAGAATGCTGTGACTGTAAGTGGACAAGATACTGGTTTTACATCTCATCCAAAAGGTAAGCAATTGGTATTTCTGGAACTGCAAAAAAACAACATGAGAAAGCAATGTTGTATTTCAGGTTTTCAAAACTTTACTTATTGCCTTCAGTATTTAAGGTAAAAATTAGCTACCTATCATAACGTGTCAATGGAAACAAAATAGATAAAGTGCAGAGTGAAGTGCAAATCTATACGTAAAAAAAAAATTAATCATTCCTCACCTGATCTTCTTCACCACCACCCTCTTCATCATATTTCAGAATGTTGTCCCTCACATCATCTTCTGGATCAATCAAGAGCTGCTTTGCCTGACGCTCTTTATCACGGCGTTTCATCCATACCACGAACATTAAAACTAAAACTACATTGTAAAAAGGGAAGACACAAAACCACATCTTGATTCTGAAGTACAGCCACGGAAAATTGTATAAATTTAACACCAAGATTAGGGGGGGGGAGGAAAAAAAGCCAAGAAAGTTGGCTTTGACTGTTCTGGATGAGTTTTGGGTGTTTTTTGTTTTTTTTTTTAAATAAAAAATTTCATAGAAGGTAGCTTAAGAAAGAGATGTTTAAACTCGGGCTACTATGGGCAATTTGATTTGGAAATCAATCACATATTCAAGGTCGTAAGTCACAAATCCATTCCACATCTGCAAAATAAACTTGTCATTAAAAGAAGTAAGAAAGACTAAGCTTCATAAACCACTGGATTCAGAAGGGAATCTCTCCAGTAGTGGCAAGAATTCTAAAAGATTATATTACTTGTATTTTTTTCTGCTATGTCCCAAGAATGTATAGCAATTTATACAGTTTAAGTAATTCTGATGTTTGAACATCACCAAGCTTAGGCCATTTTGGCATACAGCTCAGCAGTCTGCGAGAACAGACCATACTGTTGCCTAAGTTAAGATCTATGTTTAGAAGCAAGAGGAATCAAGGTTGAGGAGAATGCAGGGGCATTTAGAGCTATATATATATTTAATCTTTAATCTCAACAATTTCAAGTTATACTGTTTGTTTATAAACTAAAGCTTGTTAAAGAAAACCGAATGAGAAACAAAACAGAATAAATGAATTTCTAATACAATAGGACTGTTTCCAATTACAACCATCTTCAGGGAAAAAAATTCCAATGTATCTAGAATGTCAGTATATGAAGAGTATCTTAAAGGATTTGATAGTTTCAATGAGGCTCTGTTAATTCAATACCTAACATTTTAAGAGTATCTTGTATCAGGAAAATAATTGTAATGCGTTTGTGTACAGCCATGGGCTTAGCCAGGCTCAAATACCATTTTTATTTTATTTTTTTTAAATTACCCCTTTCCATCATTTTATATGTTCTAGACTGGTGCACAGTATACTCTGAAGAGATTAATCCCTTCCTTGTGTTCCACCACAATCAGAAATCAGTTAACCATAATGTGTAGGAGAGCTAGCATCTAATTTACTTCACTGGACAGACACTTAGTCATGATGTTTAGTCATTTCCCTTATTGAATGCACTTGACACAAAAATAAAATACTAGCACAGCTTTATGTAATACTTAAACACACATACACATCTCTGTTCCTGCATGGCTGCCTGCTTGTCGGGCCTTATATGAAGGGCTGTGATGTATTACTTTCCAAAATCATCAAATAGCCTACTTACATTAATCTGAAGCACAACAGTAGTAACACCAGAGCACTCCTTAAAGGCACTGTTAGCCGCTGTGGGTGGCGTCAAATCACACAGTACCAGCAGCACAAGAGAGACTAGAAGTCTGGCGACTAATCACATCTTCAACCTGGTCACTCACTGACGTAACATAACAAATGCCCATGGGCATAGACGGAAAACCTCTTTCACAAACCCACTGGGGGGCTTGACTGCCATGCAAGTGCTAGTTATGATCTGTCTCTCAGACTCCTAATCCTTTACCATCAGAAAGTTTTCATACTTGTCCAAGACGTTAAACTAAGCAGCAACGATTCTTGGACTTGAGTCTTTAATCACTCCCCCATCTTTGTCAAGGTACATGGGACTGAAACATAAGATGATACTTGCAAAACGAAAGAGTTAGGATTAAGAGATCTATCCACTCACTGAGCAAGATGATGATACAAAGCAGAATTGCAATGATGGCACCAGTGCCCAGCCCTGCGCCAACGATCCGGTCAACGTCAGTGCAGTCTCCGTTTATGTCACATTGGCAAACTTTCACTTTCAGCACAGAAGTGCTAGAGGCATGTGGATTTCCAGAATCTGTAATTACTATGGGCACATCGTAGATACCAGCCTCCAGGAACCTGATCCTTAAAGAGAGCTGGGCGTGATCACCTGTGTGTGAAAGAAAGGCACTTGTTAAAAAGTAAAGTGTACTGCTCACGTAGGTTTAAAACAGTATTGGCAAAAATGGCTCATCTTTGAGCTCTGGGTTAACTTACTGTTCAACCCACTACATGACACTCAGGATAACACACTTCTTTATTACTGTGAACATCTTTTCTTTCTTAAAATTTCTTGTTCTTTGGGGAACTTACACTAAGGTGCTTTCCTATTCATATTAACCAAATTCATGTACGTTGCGAAACAACACCAAAGTAAAATACAGAAAAGCATATGAAATAGTTTCTTTAAAACGATTAAGATTTCTATAATGTTAATTACCACTAATCCGAACAATAGTCCAATTCCTCTTAATACTAGCAGGTGTCTCAGGCAGCTCAAAGGCAAACGGGCCTGCATTTGGATCTATGTCAGGGTCTACAGCAGTGATGTTAATAGCGTTAGGCTGTAGTGTTTCACAAGTCGTGGCTTCTTTCGGATTCACTTGGGGGGCATTATCATTGATGTCCAGCAGGTATATCTGAAGTGTGCCAGTTCCGCTCATCGGGGGGATTCCTTAAAGAAAAGAAAATGGTACTCAGCCTGTTTCCAATTGGAAAGTTACTTAACTGAAGCTATGCCAACACTTTTCAATTACCACGTACATGTGTTCACCTCAGTTTCGGGATTCTGTCTTTACCAAGCCCATCTAACACTGTCACTACTGCTAACACACAAATTCTTATCTAGTCTGTCCTCAGAAAAACTGCCCTACTTAGCAATAATCAGCAAATAACGGCAGATCCACAGATCAGGGACTCAACTACTTTACTGACTAGACAGACAGTTCCTCTCCAGAGACAGCCCGCATCAAATAGTTCAGAGAAAAAAGTGCAAAATTGGGACAGTTTATCCTCTGGAGAAACTTATTTTGTAACTCTGAAGACTTACGATCACCCTTTACCACAAGTTTGCTATTTAAATTCTTTCTAATACTGACTTTCAGCACGCTACTTCTAGACATTCTTGCTATCCATATCGAATGTGTGACGTTTCCATAAACCTTGCTAAAGTCACACATTTATGTGAACATGTGGCACTGAATTTCTCAGTATAATTAGCAATGGTTCTCATTCCACACCCCCATAATCTTCCAGTTCCATTTAATTTTGTTCTCCAGAACAGACCCAAAAGGATAGAAGTAGTTGATCTAGCTTTGTTATACTGTATCAGTTTGCAAAATTTTACTATTTGTCTTCTCTCCAAGGTTGAGAGAGTTCTCCAACTGAAACACTCGCCCCAGTGTTTCAGTTTTCCCCTCTAACGTGACAATGTTCCTAACTGCACCTGTCCATCTTTCTGGTATCAGTTATTAACAGTACAGCACTCCAGCCAAACTCAAAGGACTCATTTCTGAGCAGAGACTGTTAATTGTCTTTAACAAACTGACAATGAAAAGACATGTCTCCCTTTGCACTGCTGTAGCCTGAAATGTGGAAAAATACAACACCCCTCCCTCAATACGTTACTCCCCATGAAGTCCACCCGTGCTGTGCATTCACTCAGGCTACTGCACTCCTGCGCAGGTTTTTTCAGTTTTCTGTAAACTCGACTAATGTAACTAAGCCAGTGCCTTTCTCCAAACTCATTTTTCAGTCCATTTCCCAAGTAGCTGGGAATATACAAAGTCTGATACTAATACAGACTTCCGACTGGATGTATTCTAAGCATATCTTGTTTTCTGCCCCAGTTAAATTGAATGCCATTCAACCACACAGAAGAAAGCTTTTTGAAAACATATACAATGTTGATACATACCATTATCAGAAGCAAGAAACGTTGCATTATACATATTGTTTTGCACATATATTGACTCTCTGTCCAAAACAGCTGTAGTAGTTATTTGTCCATTAACAGGGTCAATTTTCAGCCAGTTTGCAGGATCTGAAAGTTTTGAGTACCTGTGTATTTGATCACAAGATGTGTTATTTATCTGCCAACATAAGTATTGACAACAAAGACAATATTAGTATTTTAATTTGTATTCTGAACACATTTTTGGAATTTGGAGACAATGTTTCATAAATTTCCATTTATTAAGCCTTATCGCTAAAATTCTTTAAAACACATATTAAAAATAGTCCTACATTTAGATTCTTGAAGTGCCTTGCCATGTAAGTTATCATGTAACTGGAGTAAATCATTCAATTACCGTAAACTAGATAACATTCATATTCAGACTCAATTAAAATATTTCATTAAGGACCCACCCCCACCCCCCTTGCTTGTTCTATACCTACAGAGCTGTTCATACTAACTTTTATCTTATCAGGGTGCTGAAAGCAGGAGAGAGAATAAAGAGTGTTAGAGTAGTACTAACTTGGCATTATTCTAGCGCTTCCAATATCACTTAAAGTTAATTTTTTTAGAGGCCCTGGTTTTACTGCATGCTTCTCATCTTAATTTGAAAGAGGAGTGTCTTTCAAAATCATCCTTCTATCTGATAAATTTGCCCTTTGACATTAATCAAGTGCAAGCTATCTTAGGTCATTAAAAATGCATATATCCTTAAGTCCTCATGCTATCATGTCTATGATGGTTATGTCCAGAAATGAGCAAATTATCAGCAACAGCTAACCAAAATTAAGAGAAAATAAAATTGTAAGAACCTTGATTTTGAAAGGAAAGACAGAAAGTAAGTTCTGGAGTTTCCTCCACATGAGCTAAAAAAGCTGTTGGATAAGCTAGGAACCTGTGTCCTGGCCCAAGGCTAGTCACTGTGCCTTAGCTTTGCAGTCAATGACCGTGATTTGAACGAGGTATGCGAAAGCATGCTTTAAGATTTCCATGTTTTATCCTCTTCACTTTTCTCATTTAGCATAGTTTTACACATTAGACAAATCATGATCATAGCTATCAGTACAAGAGTTCACAGATGGACAACAGCAGCACTTTGCATTGCTGGAGAATAAATGAGAAGAAAACGCTTAAGATTTGGTCAACAATCTGACGTGGTTTTGCTGCCGTATCAAAATTTTTGGTTAATTTAAATTGCAAATTATCTTAGTTCACACAAGCACGTGTCTGCTCTGACTGAATTTGTTGGGATGCCACGTATACTTTAACACAGGTGCATAACTTCATTCTACCTTGATGAAGTGGGACTTAGCATTAGAAGACAACCCAGTTTACACATCTATGAATGCTGGTCAGGTCACCTTCTCTACAGCCAAAAATTCCTTTAGAGTGCTGCACAAAAGCTGCAGGAGGTATTGGTATAGCTGTGTGCTATGTTAAATGCAGTCATTTCGTATGCAGTCTCTTTGCTCCCCACCCATTCTGTAACACGGATATTGCATTCCAACTGTTAAATAACTGCAAAGTGTTTATATAGACCTTAGAGAGGTTTGCTGCATGTAACGGTCTGGGTCCTGAGCAGTGAAAGTTGTCAACACGCTACCAGCAAGTAGTCCTTCTTCTTGACGTACAAGCTTAGGGTTTGGAACAAAATATGGGCTCTCATTCACATCAATGACTGTGATGGACACGGTTGCTGTTGACTGAGGAGGATGCTGAATCCCCTTAGCCAAAGGCACTTGATTTTCCGCAGCTACAGTAAGTACGAACATCCTGTTGGTCTCGAAGTCAATAGGCTGGGAAAAGCAAAGAGCAGGAAGTGTTAACATTTACTCACAATAGTGATGGACACATAATAACATTTTTACTTTAAAGCATGTTTTTAAACATTACTTGTACTGCTTTTCTCAAAAATGAGCACAGAGCCTAAAGAGAACACAATAAACGTTAACACCTCAACACGAGACTGGGTTGGAGTTTTGCTTAGCAGCAGCAGCAGTTTTGAAGTCATAACAGCTAGAAACCTTGTCATTCTTGGATTTAATGTACTCTGATACTGCCATTAGTGGTAATTGAGGAAACAAGTAGTTTCATCAGAAGATGATGTATAAACTCCCAGCTTTGTGCCAAGCACTCACATGAGCAGATGTGCCTGCTGAGGAGCTCTCCTGGGGAGAGAAACCTGCCTCTCTCTATTATGAGGATGAAGGTTTCCTTCAAACAAGATCATGACCATACCTAACCCCGTCGATCAGAGATTCCCATGCCCCTAATGTTTCAGTAGAAAGACTTTGTAATCCCAGCTAATCCCACTGCTGGTGTACCTACAGCTCTCATCCTCACAGCCCGGACAACCTTCAGTTTGGGGACTTCCTCACTGAGCCAGAAGTCCAATTTAAGGAGGAGCAAAACCAGTTTGAGGCTAGAGTTCTTCTGTCATGCTGCATAGGGGTGAAGCATTCCCCAAGACCTGATTCGCTTTAGTACTATGCACTGTACTACTCGCACTGATTCTAGACTTGAAGGAACCCTGTGCCTTACAGGGGCAGCTGGCACGTGACAGTATGAAGTTAGTGACAAGAGACAATCCAATCTTCATTACAGGTTGACAGATCAACTCGTTGCGCTGCCAATAAAAACCGCAGGCAGGCTTCCAACTCTTTCCATGTCTGGGTGCTTAAAGGAGTGCTGCTGGCCAGACTGCAGAATTGCCATTTACCACCTCAGGTTGATTCTCCTATGCTGTTTAAGAGCCTCTGATTTCAGATGGTAGAGCCGGCCCGCTTCTGAACAGGCCCATCGTTCCCTTGCATTTGTAGGAAAAAGTTCCTTTTCCAGTGAGGCTCCCACACATTGCTACTCTGTTGTTAAACCAGGTCAGATGTAGCAAAGCACTGAGACACTCTGGCAGTAGAAGGATAGAACTTGTTAAAAATAAATTTGTAAGTGAGCAAAGCTATATCAAACAGGTTAGAGATCTGGACTCTTAGGCTTGCTTCTCTTTATAATACTTTAGTTTAATCTGAGCATTTTTAAAATTCACTTTTCCAGACATTTCTATTTTGATACCACTCCTAGATCTGAAAAAGATGCTTATGTGCCTAATTACAAAGCCCAGACACTCACGTAGTACTTGCTGGAAGACTGCAATATAACAATTGGTACCTCTGGGGAAGTGCAGTTATAAAACAGTTCTTAAAAAAACCCCCAACACTAGTGTGAATTACCACTATAGCTGTACAAAAATTGTATCTTTTTCTCACCTAGATACTGAGAAGATTAAAAAAGAAAAAAAGTGGGGGGGGGAAGTGAAGGGGAGGGGGAAGTGAAAGTTTTAATTTCCAAATGGGAACACTGGCATCTCACACTTTGACTTCTTAAGTGGATCAGCCAAAACCAGAACAGGCCAACTCAGAGATGAGACTCTTATCAGAGGGCCATGAGAAAAGGCGGCTACTGCCTGGTAGGTTTAATTATAGAACCACATTGTTGTTATCACTTGAAATAAATCACTCCTCAACGCAGAGCCATGTTGGCTAGAGAATGAAGATAGACAGGTTATTCCATAAAAGGTATTTAAATGAGGTTTCAAAAATAGCCAGTCTTTAAAAGCCTCTTGTAGAAGTAGCCTCCCACCTATCACTTTTTCCTCTCTGATTGTGCCTTGACAGCCTGTATCTGTTCCTTAACAGGAACATGTTGACATAAAACCTGCAGACAACAAGCGTGACTACTAATAGAGCCCAGGAGGTAGGAAGCTGTTCCTTTACACTAGCAACGAATACTAAGCAAATGCTTTTTCACAGACTAATTCCTATCTTTTGGCAAATAAAGCTTCAAATCCTATCATTTTCAGCAACATAGCTTGATTTTTAAAACTGATCAGTTGGAATACTACTGATAGTGTAAGCAAACACTCCAAAAGATGGATGGCTTACTTCCACAAGACAGATGGTGTCCATCCATTTTACTTTCCAGACTCGTGCTGGCTTCAGGAGTTCACATTTTGCCCTGTCAGTGCTCTCCCACTTCTTCCATCTCTGCTTAACTCTCTGAAGCACAAGCATCTCTTACCTTCACAACAGTCACCAGCCCATCGTTGCTATTGGGATCGGTCAGGATGGTAAATCGACCTGTCGGGTCTCCTCCGGTCATTCGGTACATCGCGTTCCACGCAGGCGTGTGGGGCTGATCTTTATCCGTTACCGTCAGATTCGCTACGATCACATCCACCCTGTTTTCCGGTACTTCCCCATAGAACTGCAAAAAACAAGAAAACATTTTACTTTAGCTGTAGAAGCACGCAAGAGCCACGCCATACTGAACATTCATCAACGTTAGGGAGTGCATCTTTCTTCACTGGAGCTCTGACAATTTATCTAATGAAGTTTACCTGAGGCCACCCAGAAAACCGATGGTTTGATTCCCTTGTCAGCTTTTGCCTTTTGGCCTAAGCAGAATACCGTATCTAAGGGATATATATTCTGCACATATTTCAATTCTGCCTTCCAGTACACTATTTAGTAAGTAATAAATATTTACTGTCTGTGAATATAAAGAGAAAAGTGGGGAAGGGTTATAAATATGCACATCCTTCAGTTACTCTCACCCTGTACTTACCGTCATGGCGGTGAACTCTGGAGGATTGTCATTGACATCTGTCACAGTGATGACAGCAGTTGCTGTGTTTGAAAGACCATATGTTGGGTTTCCTTCCATGTCCGTAGCTTGAATTATTAATGTATATTGTTGTACTTTCTAAAACACAAAACGACATCAACATAAGTTTAAGACAAAACTAACATTACTGTAGGACAGCAGGTGTTTCCGAAATTGCACTTTGCTAAGCAATGGAGCCTATCACACTGTTTATTCCAGTTAGCATCACCCGAAATGACAGGAGCAAAGTTTGTGCCACAGGAATACAGCACCAGGTTGCATCTAGCTATACTGAACTACTGCTTGATTTTCCTCAGAGATCACTGCGATGAGGACAGACTGCCTGCTTCCTGCTCTCAAAAATCAAACCCACTTTATACAGTTAATGCTATTATCACAGATTTAACAACGCTTTTCAAATGGGGAAAAAAACGAGAGTGCAGTTTATACTGAAACAGGGTAAGTCCTCAAAAGCATTTAAGAGAACTGAGCCAAGGTAGATTTGCTGGCCAAGCGGCCACAACTGCCAAGGTTTTGTTTCAGCCGAGCCCCAGTATAAAACCGCTGTTGCAACTTCTTGCGATCGCTATGGAAACCGAAGATGTCAAGGCTAACAGAGACGAGTAAGGGCACTGGCAGAAACGGGGAGGCAACAACCACACGGGCTATTTCCATAAATGTTCAACACCCCGTCCGAAGTCGCTAACGGCCCTCCGAGCCAGGCGCTTCGCTCCCCCCACGGCGCGGCTGGAGCGGGGCCAGGGCTCCCTCAAGCACAAGAAATGCCCAAGGGAGAGCGGACCTCAAACCGGTTAGATGTCTAAAACAACGCTGGCGAGGTCGTGTTTGGGGGGCAGAGGGGGGGGAAGAACCACCCTAGAAAGATGTCTTTTGTGTAGAGTTGCTGAGAAGTTGATTTTTAACTCATCGACGGTTTCCACCGTGAAATGCAAATATTGTGCATGCTTTTTCATTTCCCAGTTTAGTTTCAAATTTAGCGTTTCCCAGCTCGGAGAGAGCTTGGTGCTATCATTCAGTTCTTTCCAAAAGAAAACGCACAAACATAAGAAGCTGCAATTACTTTGAAATACCACTTTTCATGAATGGTTTACTAACACTGGCAAAAAACCTTCTGGCAAAATAAAAATACTTAAAGAAAAGCACAGTTTTTCCACTCGCTACCTTATTTTCTCCCACTACTTAAAGACTGGGCTATATGACAGATGACTTCTCATGGAAACTGTTTACAAAAAGGGACTATGGATATCGATACAAAAAATAAGCAAGGACAATTCCACCGATAAGTGTCTAACTTTCTTTCAGATTTTGGCCAGACACTATGACAGACATTAGAGATTTAATGGTTATGCACACTTCCAAGCAGCAAATATGAGCCATTGAATAAAAAAAGTTCTTAAAATCAGCTGTATGAATCTTCTTCTCCCACTGAAGATAATTTATGCTCATGTCGTCCTTCACAAAGAAACCTTTACAACACACCTCAAATGTGTACTACTGCATATGCATCCCATGGTTCTTTAATAAAGCAAGACTAATATTATTTATATAGAAACACAATATATACGTTTAATGCATAAATATATATACAAATTCTGGCTTGGAAAATACGTAATTGCAAAATGACCTTCAAAAGGCTTAAATAAACATCCTAAAGGTTTCCTTCGTGACACCAACAAGAGAAGCAGTCACAAGGGAATCAAAGAAATACGTTAACCACTGTCATCCAGGAAAAAAATATACTTATTGTGAAGCAATAAAATCTAGAGCGGTATTGAAGCAAATCTTGCAGCCAGATGATTCTATGTTATTGAAACAGCAGGTGCTTCTGATTCATCTGGGTCTTAACACATTGATCCCAAGAAGCAAATTTCATTTTTGAAACTCCGTTATTATTACGTGGAGACTCAACTTCCGTACAATCTTCTTATTTAATTCCAACAGAAGCAGCACACTAGAAACTGCCCCAAAAAGTGCCCCAGAAGACAGCATATATGTGTTTTTGTTTCTTCCCCCCCGGCTTCCAGCACTCACATACAGAAGATCAACTGCTGGGAATGAAATTTCAGAAATCAACAAGCGCACAACTTTCCAAGCATGGGAAAATTGGGGGAGGTGGCTCTCTCCTCTTTTAACTGCGGGTTGAGAAGGAGCCAGGAATAAGCCGTGGAGCATGTGTCAGCAGCCTGCACGGAGACTTTGCAGCAACACATCTGAAAACGAACTGGCAGCTTCAGGAAAGAACGCAGACCTCATCAGGTCACATCTTTCCACTTCAACACAGGCCAAATAAAAGAGCACTTCACTGAATTAACATCACGTGAGGCAGGAATGTCAGTGTGTAAATTTAAAGTACCCTGCCCAACTTCTTCGGCACCTCCAGCAGTAAGGCAGATGTTTTAATGCTGAAGTGAATTCCACAGCAATAGTGGAAGAAATAAGAACAGCTGGATCTCATGAAAGAGCATCTTTTGGGATAGCAAGTGAAAGACGACTTCTGCCTTTAGCTGAGTCCCCTACCTAGGCAACCCTCCTCCTGCGCATGTTAGCATGGATAATGCATTGTGCGTGTTAAGCTAAAATACTAACAGACGAGGAATGCTATCAGAGGAACCACTCTTTTTTTTTTTTTTAATGCCTACAACACTTATGCTCCCATAAATAATGGGTCACATAATTTAAGAATTTAAAATTGTGTCTAGTATTTTACGAGCCTAATTAGAGCTTTAGAAAGAGAGTCAAGACTTAGAGAAAAGGGCAGAATGGCAGGAGTTGGTAGCCCAGCTGAGGTTCCCAGACAACAAGGAACCTTGTGCAACAAGGCACTCCCCAGCCCACTGTCAGGAAGACCTGCTTGCTTCAGATCTGGCTTTCTAGACTCCTAGTTGTTTGAATTTAATTGACTTCCACGAAATGACTCAGGAAATGAAGGAAGCAGAGCAATGGCTTGGGAAGGAAACCATTTTAGCTCATATTAGTCTAATTTAATATTTGAATGATTTAACATTAATCATTAACATTCAACATGTGCAAGAAATGTTTATAAATACTCATTTGGGTATCAGTACTGTGATCCATCAGGAAAACTGATGGCAAATGACAAGGCTTTTCCAACTGTTAATGCGAGGGCCTAAGCTCCACAGACAGCTGGTTTCTTCCAAGTTAAATCACGCCGGTACAGCTAGTCACTAAGTAATAAAACTCAGAGTTATCGCTATGTCCTTCTGAAAGTTCACCTGTCAAAGATGACCAGGGGATTTTAAAAACAATGGCAAAGCTGCCTATCATTCTTTTAATTTAATAGGGCAATACTGTAAAGTTCAGGGTTCTCCTTTCCTCAGATCCATCCTCTTCAAAACCAACTTAAATAGAACGAATGTTAATGAAACTTTAAAAATTAATTGCAATATCTAACAGTCTGTTTAGCTTTTCAGATCTTCTGATTGCCCCTTTCAAACTGAAATGCATCAGAATATTAATAGCCAACCCAGAGCATCAGAAAGTATTTTTGTTCTCCATTTTAAATAAGTATCAGCAAACAGCTAAAAGCTGAACAGCAAATCCAGTTTAAAAAAACCTTCAGATTTAATGAGCTAAATGAGGTTAGTAAAACAGTAGTTGAAACAAGATGTGTTGAAGTAAGATTTGTTTGGATTTTATAGTTTGTTTATAAAATAATACTTATCTCTTCTGAATTTTCAAGTGGTTCAAAAGCACAGTTAGTCCATGTGACAGATCTGGAGTTGCGAGGGAAATATTTTTGTTCCCACCTCACAGATGGGTGAACCAGAGCAGAGGATCTGGCACCCTCCCTCTCCGGTGGTGGGCACAGTGAAGAGCTGTCTAGACAGAATGGGACTTGCCCAGCATGTAGCAGGGAATTACTGACAGTCAGATTTTTTTTTTGTTATTTTTTTAAAAAGATTTTGAATGTGTGTGTCCAGGCCTTGAGACAAATCTCTATCTATGCAGTTTCCAATACTGACTGGTTTATTTCTTAGAAATGTGCATTTCAAATTTTAAAGTCAGTAATATTTTTCCTGGTTTATTTTAATAAGCAAATTACTGCAAATTTAGCAACACAGCATCCAGAAGATTTCAAGTATTTACCACCTCTCTCTGAAGAGCAAGGAAGAGGACAGAGGGAGGACAGAAGCTCTCCTGGAGCTTCCAAAATAAATAAAAAAATAAGTAAAAAATAAATAAAACCCAATTCCATTTTCCATCTACTTTTTGCCTACAGAGAGCTCAGCAAGAGGAAAGGGCTGGAGCTGAGGAACACCTCTCATCTCAGCACCCAGGCCGAGCACCTGAGGTCCTTATCTGCATCCTTCTGCTTTAGTGTGTGCCTGTTCCTTAAAAGCAAACAGGCTTTTGAGACAAGATCCTTTCCACAACCCCATGGAACCGAGAGTGACTACATGTACGGAATGCGTGGGTCCACTTTTCATCCCCATCCTAGTTTCCTCTTTCCCAGGGAGAAAGTTCAGACCGGGGAGGGAGCGAAGTATTTGTAAGTTACTAGCAAAAAATGTGATTCTTCACAATATTAAGTACAACGCAGCCTACGGGATTAAGTCCTGCCGTACCTCTCTGTCAAGCCCAGCTGCTACAGTGATAATGTCACCAGTCTCGTTGTTGATTGTAAACATGTTCGGTGAAGGGCTGCTCGGGGCCTGCGACAAGATTCTGTATCTCAGCATCCCATTCTGTGCATTGGGATCATCAGCATCGATGGCAGTAACAGTCATCACGTAGGTTCCTAGCAACAGGATAAATAATTGATGTTATATAAACAGTTTACTCAGATTACACAAGATCACTTACAAGCAATGGTCAAAGCATGTATTTCTTTTGGTAAACTCTGCACATTCCTTCTCTTACTTAAAACAAACTGGTTAAACCCAAGACTCACCAACAGAGTAATTAAAATACATAAGAGAAGATAAAAATACTTTGTGCTTATAAAATATCAGATTTGCTTAGAACTGAAGAAACTCCATAAACAACGAAACCCTACAATTCTGCCATAAATAACATTTCTGTAACAACAGAGCTCCTCACTTTTAGATAAAAACGTTATTAATTGGGCCAAAGGAAATACACTTAATTTTCAAAATTGGTGCACATACTGATAGCGATTGAAAATCAATGTAAATAATACTCTTGATCAAAGGTCTTTCAGATGTGTGTTCTTTTCATCTCAAATGCCAAGTCAACACTGCAAAGCGAGAAAATACATTTCTTGTGCTAACCTTTCTAAGAAATTCATTTTGCGCTACTGACAAATTAAGAAAGTGGTTTCAGCCATACTGCAAACTGCAGTCTGAATCGATTAGAATTGTAATGAGATACGAACAACATTCAGGGTTTTCTCGAGAATTCAGATGAAACTGTTTGATTTCAAATCCCTATATTTCCAAAGCCTCTGAGATTCAGAACTAGAACTGGATCTGCTGATGTTTCAGAAGTCTCTTGTACCCTGAGCTGTCAACTAAATGAATGTCAATGGCTATCATGAACATAACGATAAGAACTGTGACACTATAAATAGGATTTTCAAAACCAGGAACCTAAAAGTCATATTCTTAAAGACTTCTCTGTTTTAGTTTATGTACATAATACTTTCTTCTCCTGGAAATTAATCCTAGCATGCTAAAATGTGAATTAAAAATAAGGTGAAATAATGAGCAAAATCTCAGATACTGTCTTATCACACTAATAAGACACCTTTGAAAGTATTACAACGTCTGAAGGCACCCCCTTCATCACCTTCAAAATGTTACTGCATACACTTTGAAAGCCCATGGATTACCTGGCTTTGATCCTTCAGGGACTGTCCCATTCCAAACCTGGTGTAAGAATTCAGGTCTATTGTCATTCATATCAATGACATTAATAACAATGTCAATAGGATTTTCCACCTGGTTTCCGTTTACATCCACTGCGTGTGCTCTCAGCTGCAAAAACCATTAGAAGTATTAGAATTTGCACAACATACAGGCACAAATAGATACAATAATGGTGGCAGGAAATTTCAGGCCAGACATTTTTAGCTCAGTGTATTTTGTTATTTGCCACTGCTCCCTCATATCGACCATTTGAGTTTTCAGGTTGCTAATGGAACTGCTGTTCAGACTTCTAAACTATTCTAAGCTGCAGATTTACTTCTTTGATTTGCTGAAAATTATTTTGAATCATGTAGTTTCCATTAATACTAATGCCTACTGTCATATATAAATCTATTTTTAATAGTGACCGTTAGAAAACAGACTCTAGAAATATGCAGATTTATAGCAAACAGGTAGCAACTTATTAACAACCCATAGGGAATGAACACTGGCATCACTTTCAAAAATTCTTTACTGATATTATAGATATTGAATAGACATGAATACATAGGAAAAGTGTATAGATTTGTGTTACCTGGAACACCAAGGTAAGGTTTGTGATAAATCATTGTCAGTAAACACACTGAAATTCCAGGCTAAAATTAAGCTAAAGTTTATGGACTGAGTTTCAAAGATACTGAGACACTTAAATTTAATGCCCTGATTGTCAGAAAGGGCTGAGTAACTAACTTTGACAGGTTTACCTAAATCATCTTAAATTGGACAGCCAAAAAAAAGGAATACAGCACTTTCTGAAAATTTAAACCAGTGTATCCAGGCCAGAGCCGTACCATATATGACCTTTATAGCATGCCATCAATCTTTTTAGGTCTGAATTAAATGACCCCCCCCCCCCCCCCCCCCCTCCAAAATCTATCTTCTGGCTACAAACCTACTAGAAAGGAACAAGAGGGCATTATTAACTCACCACTCTGGAAATGACTCATACAAATGTAAATTCCTAAGTCAGTAAATCTGGAATTGCCAATGCCAAATTCTCAGTGAAAACCTTATGGATGCCAGAGCTGTTGCACTCTTGTGAGACCCATTCCCTCCACCTCCCCCTAGATGCCTCCTGCTGCCTCCTCTGTTTGGGAGCAGCACTTGAAGGGCTTCCCGGAGTGCGAGGCAAGGAGCGCTTTAAACCACGACATGCTGGAAACTCTCTCTAGAAGCTGAGCGACTTCCGTAATGATTTCAGCATGGTCTCTAAAAAGCAGAGACAACTTTAGGTCACAGCCTGGTCTCCCCCTTCCTTCAAACCTTTCTTTTCCACTAATACTGGAATCTGTGGTCGACTTTGTCAATTTTTTTAGAGCAAAGAATATCATTTTCATAAGTTGGCAGACCTAATTTACAATTCCATTAAAATGCTTAGATTTGCCCCGAAAATGAAAATTGGTAAGTTATTCTTCCCATCCATTTCTCAAATCACAGCTGCTGCAATTCTAACAGCAGTCACGTCCTAATTTAAGTTGCTGAATTAAAAGTAAACTTTTGAAAAATATACAATACAGTGGAGACTGTGATCAATGGTCTGTATTTGAAATATAAGCTACAGTATCCATACTTCAATCTTTTAAAATTACGTTATCTAAATACATTTAATCACTATTTACGTATGTTAATGTATTTAAGCTGCTTAAACATAGTAAGAGTTAGCCTTAGTAAGTACAATAAATACAAATCTGCTACAAACTCTTCAAATCATATCTCATAGAAAACTAAATGCCGGCTGCTCAAGTCATGTTTTAAGCAGATGTTAATCTTCAATTTGATAATCTGATTTATGGTAAATTAAAATCTTACATGAAAAGAAGCAATCTGTTCCCGGTCTAAAGGCTTTGTCACAGACAGCTGTCCTGAGATGGGGTTGATGATGAAGATGCCTGTTGGAGGTTGGTCAGCTCCTGGGCCAGTCACACTGTACCGTAGCGAGAGGCTTTTATCACGATCGGACCTAATCTACGTATCAAAAAAGATAATGTTTACATTAGCTACAAACAACCAGTGGATGGGACTGCTGCTGAGACAAGCAGCAGCTCTTCCCCCCCCCAATCTTTAAGCTAAACTTGTAAAAATAATTATTCTGGAAATGACATAAAGTTAGTATAAAGCTTAAGGTTTTCAACTGCACTCTTTGTTTGCCAGAAAGCTGGTCAATGACTTTTCAGGAACATATAAACATCCCTTCTTATTTCTCATAATAGGATGAATAGTATTAAACCAAAACAAGTAAGTATTCTTACCTTAAACAGAATTGTTTAGATCTTAGAGAAAACATATACTATCATAAAACTACATAAGAAATAAAAAGTCTGTTTTGGGGTTTTTTCCCTCCTCCTCTATCTTCCCAGACCAAAGCTACAGACTCTCTTCCGCTACTGGCAGTAGCCCTTTAGAAACTCGCCATTTTTTGTTTAAAGACTGAGCTTTGGTCTCATCTTCCAAAGAAAAAATTAAAGGGCAGTGAATCTGTGAGGAGCAGGTGAATCACCAGCATGCACGTCAACGAAGCAGAGCAAAACTATATCCTATCAGCTTGGGCTAATGCTCTACCAAGTTCCAACAAATCCTCGTACAAGTTGATCATGACCAACCAGTACCACGGTTGGAAGCCCTCTCTTGTGCTGGGCTCCTGTCAACGGCCACGTCTGGGCTGCAGAATCCTGTGGAGCAGCTAGTGTCCTCACCCCGTCACATCCCGTTTCCTCCTGCCTCCTGGTGCACTCCTCCTCCTGCTCACCCCCACACCCTTCCCCAGGTGGAAAAGTCCCGTGCAGAAGACTGGAGAACTCCTGAACCGGCAGATCCTCCTTAACCACTTAAGGAAATTATCACAGCACTTACCACCCTAAGCAAGGTCACCTTCCACCGGTACAGGAGCATAGGGACAACTTAAAAAAAAAAACAAACTAGTAAATGCAGCCCAGCCCAATATGCACAGAGGCATATTTTTGGACATGAACCAGTCCAAAAGACTCTGATAAACGTTTGGACTATGAACAAGACATCATTCACACAAAAATCTCTTCAAGAGCTCTCCAAGGGACACTGAAACCACATTTCTATTAACTTCCTTACCCTAACTAATTCCTGAGGAAAAGGTCCTCTGGAATTTTCTGGTAGGTTGATTGGAGGAATAACCCAGTCTCTCTTCTGCCTCTTCAGAGGGCTGCTGTGCTTGTATTGTTGCCATGGAAATATGATGTCTTCAATTTTCTTTTGGTCCTTTCCCAGGTACAAGATAAAATTAAGCACATGTGAGAAGGAGAATTACTAGTAGACGTTATAAAATAACTCAGATACAATTACATAATTGACTGAAAGGCTGTCGTTCCTCTGTGTTCATAGAACTGTTTTATTTGCATTCACAGTGCAGTATGAAAATAACCATTATTATTTACAACTGCACTGCAAAATTTTAAGACCTCCTTTTCTTTTTTCCTTATTCAAGTTGGAGGAGAAATGGAATTATAAACCATTTATAACGTGGCAGTACTGTGTAAACTATTCTGCACTTTCTGAAAAGTAGTTAATATTTTGCAGAATTTAATAGTATGCCTTTATGTATTTCTCATTAGCCAGAACTTCAGTTCAGGTAATGTGCTACTGTACATTAAATTTAGATCTGGGTGTGCTAAAATATAATTTGAGTTCCAAGAGAAGTTTAATACATACTGGTAAGGAATGTCTCAAATATTTATGACCCTATTAAATCCCATAGAATTAATGCTGTAATTATTTTAAACCTATGTCAGCCATGATGGATGCAGTAGATGACCCACTTTACACATTGGGCATTAATCTCTGCTGGGTGTCAACATTCCCTTCCTATTCCCTTCTATATCTGCACTCATTTCAGCCTTTGGATGCCAGCACACATATAGTCATGCTAGCTTGCTTGAGGGCGGAGACAGGGTGACAAAAACTTTTTCCAAATCTTTTAAGAGAAAAACTTTTAAAAAAAAATCTAATCAAATATGCCACAGAGTAAAAACGGACGCCCAACTGAAGGCCAGATTCCACTACTCTACATTCTGCTGATGGCAAGGATGCCTGAACTGGATCTTTGGAAAGAACAGGGCATGCCCTGGCATATCTAAGCATCTGCTCTTTTACTAGACTTTTACAGACAAAATTACATTTCCTTTGTTAAAAATATGCCTTAGAAGATTTAAAACAATCATCAAGTAAGCAAACAAAAAACTGAGGATTACACAGCTTTGGTCTCCAGTGTGTTCTTGGGAAAAACGTCTTGCATAACCACACTGTCTATTTTGACATGATGCTTAAATCTTTAATGCGTACCTATTACAGGTATGTTAATCTGTGAATAAATTTTGTTCTTTATTTGTAAACTAAGCACTTTATAAGTGAAGGTAAGAAACAGCAGGCAGCAAGTAACGTAACAGAAAAAGGCAGTAGACCTAATACTGTTTTCCTAAAGTAAATGCATTGTTATTTGTATATTGCTAGGTTTGATTTTTGTTATAATATATGGTTTATCCTATAGCAGCTTCCAGCAGAGGGAGACTACCTTCCTTACCAAGTAGTGCTGCAATCATGAATAATTTACAACCTCCATTTGATTATGAAGGGACAAGACAAAGCCAATATTCCCTGCCAGAAATGCTTTCCTACTACTGCTGTAAATCTACAGCTCCCATCTAATAAATGTGACTGATGCATTCTAGCACAAATTTGTTTATTTTGTGGCTATATTTAACCGCTCGAATAAATACTGTAATACTTTCAAGCAATTTAAAATAAAGAAATGACCGTGTCTGACTTAAATTCAGGTATAAATCTCAAACTATACAAACAAAAAGCTCAAACATAAATGAATCCTATATACTCAAACAGGCATGCCTTTCCATGCCTTTGTAAAGCTACAGAATAACAGGCTATAAAAACATTCTTCCTGAGGCTCTAGGCTTTGCATGCACTAGTTGTCCATTAATAAAACACCTCTTGGAGAGGTGCATGACGGACAAAATCAAATCCCTATTTTTAGGCCTGTTTGTGGAGACACAGTTATACAGGCTATGTTTAGTTGTTGTTTTACCTTTTCTGAAGCCCCTGCGAAGGCTGGTTCAGGGGTTAGCTTCACTCTCATTTGCCATTCTTCCTGGGTTTCCTTGTCTTGAGCAGACACAACGAACTCTGTGGGCTCTGCTGAAAGTTGAAAGCTTCGCTCTGCATAGACCACACCATCTTCACCTACTCTGAAATCTTCTGGCTCACTGCTTCCAAAATGTATTTTTTTGTTTCCATCACAGCTTTGAAACTTCACTGTAAAACAGACACAAAATGAAGAACAAAAAATGAAAAAGCAGCCCACTTGAACTCAGTGTGACATAAAATGCATTAAGAACAAATATTCGAAAGCAGAAAGACTTAACTTGTTGCTGCTATTATCACATGCAATTATGAGTTAAGATTTGTACTTTAGGGGTCAGTCCACATAACAGCAATATCCTTCTGTGGACTGCTAGGCAGAGTTTTTAACCCTAGACAGACTGCCTCCCTCCCGAAGACCTTCCCCCCCCAACAAGAAAACCATTTCCCTCCACGTCCTACACTACATTTCAGTCGGTTTCCAGTGGAACGGCTGCAGGAATTTGCACCTCAAGCCTCACAAAGATCCAGTCAAGTCAATTCATTAAAAACACGCAACAAATTTAATTGTGCTGCAACCACAATCGCAAACACAAGGCCTCCAGTGCCTTCTCTGCCAACGGGGGTACAGCAGAAACCCCGAAGTCCGTTAAGAGATTAACTTCTGTGCCCAGCTCAGCCTGCGATTCGCTGTTACTGGTAGGTCACTTTCAGCTCTGGGCCTGAGTTTCCTCATCCCTCATCCACAAGACAGAGGCAGGAGTAAATACTTATCTCACAGAGAAAATCTGAGCTAAAGACTTAGCTTTTTTTTAAAAAAAAAAAAAAAAAAAAAAAAGTTATTTCACATACCACACATGTCCATTCATCTACTTAGGAGTTAACCCGTTCTTGCTTAATTCCCCCCCTCCTTCCTTTTGTCCTGTCTGAAAGACGCACATTGGAACAAGAAGTCAGTAAAACCGGTTGTACAGATAATGATGTGAAGTGCACAAAACAGAACTGATAACAGGTTGGTGCTTTCTTTACCCAACTGCTTTCACTACCACTTATCTTCTGGGTTACTGCAAATAATAGTAGGTAAAAAATGAAAAGTGTGCTTTTATAACCAATGATCGTTCTTTAATGTTTCCAAAGCATTATAAAATATTTTGATTGTACGGGCAATAGAAGTGCAAAACATCATTATGAAGGTTGTGCTGAAATGCACATAGTGAAGATGAAGATGAAATGAGGCTTTATGCCTCATTTCAGTTATTGGACTTTTTATATTGTGCTAAACCATGCACAAACTATTTTGCTTCAAAACCTAAAAGTCCCTCTCAAGAAAAATCACTACTAAATGTCATTCATCATATGCTTTCTTCTGTAATGCACTGTTTCCAGGAAGGTACTGAGAAGAAGAATCACACCTTTTTGTATTTGAACTTCAAGGACCGAGCTGATGTTCAGATGACATGTAAAATTTGTTTCCTTACTGCACCCTTTCACTTATCCAGAATCCCCCCTTTGCTCTCTCCTGACAGAAAAGACTGTACAAAATACTTCTTTGAAAGGGTCCATCACGTACAAAAATGAGAAAAAGCACAGTAATCTTCAAAATAAATGATAAAATGTCAGCCACCTTAATACCGATTTTGCTGGGCTGCGCAGGGATACTGCTTTTTCCAGATGGCTCGCAGAGTGTGAAGGTCTCCCTCCATGAAACACCAGCCTCACCTCAGGGAGAAGAGCACGCCACGTCCCACAAAGCACTGAACTCAGGAAAAACAAATCCGCCTGGGTAAAAGGCTGAAGCCTCACTGCTAGGGCTCCTCCTGGGGCCCTCCTTGTAGATGCTGCCTCAGGTCTTCCTCATTAGCAGTGAGAGTGCTTCAGTGAAATGCTAATAAATACTCAGCCTCTCGCGTAAGTTTTCATATATGTATTACTCTCTAGGCAATCCCTATTGCTCTTCAAGTCCATCCTACCTGCTCCATAAAGTACAACTGACTTCCTTTCCTATGGATCTACAGACTATAGGTCTGCAAGATTTGGAGAAGGTGACAGAACCTCTGGTTTGCTGTTTACACAGGAGCAGAAAATTGACAGGCAGAAGGTCCAGCTCCCAGATGTTGACCATCCCAGTGATCCCCCACTCTTTTCAACACCGAGCCTCATGGCTTGAGTCATCTTACCGTGACAGTATGCTGAAACACAACAGCCAACTGAGAAAATGCATGATTCTAAGCCAAGGACATAAAACTACCAGTTAAAACAACTATACCAGTACCCAGAAATCATTACCATAGTCCTAATTCTGTAATTCTGATTAGCCAACCTTTAGAGCCGGATATTCTGTTTTTGCGCTAAACAATACAAAGAGGTGTCCACGAAGAGTTTACTCAAAAGTCACTACATCTAATGATTTAAGAATCTAATGACTGGACTACCAAACAGCACTGCTCATACTTGGGTTCAGAGGCACAGACCACCCATACCCCAGGCATGGAGAAAGCTGGGCCTCCTCCAAGCATCATCTCTGTTCACAAACAAAACTCTCAGTTAGAAACAGTTCACGTTAAGAGACTAAGGAAAAAAACAGCCAGCAATATATCCCATAGCTCTGTGCCTCTGCTGACATCTCGTCTCAGCTACAGCTGCTCTCTAAATCTGCTCTTCAAAAGAGCGTCTTGACTGAAAGGATGAAGAACGAGCCAGATTCACCTCTGGCTCTTCTCCGACTTACTTCTGAAAAGTAGGGAGTGGGAAAGAGAATGAGTATTAATCTCAGCTTTGATCATTAGTGTTTTTCAAAAAGGTGAATTTTAAAATGAGTATTACAGTCATTATGGTCCAAAAGACTAAGATATCAGAACAATATTTTATAAAAAATTATTTCCCAACTATTGCACAGTAACATAATGTATTCATTTTTTATATATTCAAATTCATAAAGAAGAGCATTTCTTTACCCCCATCTTCTTACGTAGACTCCAGTAGCCAAAAAAACCCCAAGAAAAAAACACCCTGCTAGCCACTTCATTGATATTCCTCCTCCAGGCGACTGTATATTATGAAATTTAATGAAAATCCCTTTCCTTTGACAGTATCCTGGTAAAAATGTATAAAGTTGTCAATGCTTTGTGAGAATTATTCTCCCTTTGCAAGGTGCACACATTAACAAATTATACTCAAGTACAACCATCCATAATTAAATTACCTTGACAGCAGAGTACAGGTTATGCAGTAGCTACTCTCCCCCCAACCACATGGTTATCAGTCTTGTAAATTCAATTTAGATCACTTTGCTTCATTTTTCAGTGTTCAACTGGTATAAGCAAAGAGTGATTTCCGACTGTAGGTTTTTAGGCAAAGATTTTTGCAAAAATGCGACAGGAAATCTTTTTTCCACAAAGAATAATGACTGTTTATACCAACCATGTTCTTTCTAACAACCGCACAGAAGGGAGGCATGCTTTCCAAAAGTCATTTTCTGTTGACACATCAATCGTATGGATTTTCATTTTAAAAAGGGTTAACCAGATATACTCTACAGCATCTAGTCACTTTGTATGCAATAGAAGGAGTAATCAAGTATCTTATTTTACTGCTTTTTAATAACATTCTCCACATAAATGACCGCATGAGAGTACCTCACAATCTGTAAAAATAACTCACCGATTTTTAAATATTTCTGAGTATCTTCTGCACCTTCTGAAAATTATCTGCTTTTTAAAAGATTTCTAAGTATATTATTTGAAAGTGCTAGAAGTATTCAATCATGATCTGAAATATAACTATTTTGGTTTTAAAGACAATGCCTTTGGTCCTATCAGAACAATAATATGCACACCAGCTTTGATGCATAAGAGTAAATGCAATTAGTTCACATGCTCAAAATAGGGCTGTGCACAAGGATTTACAAAAACAGGGTCTTTAAACAGAAGAAAAATTGTATTTAGTATTAGCATATGATTATTAGTACACATTAGACCTGGAGACAAAAGACCATTAGTATCCTAATTTAGGAGTCTTTTCTTGTCCTAAAACCAAGACAAGTGTAATCTATTAAAAAAGAAAAAGAGAGAACCTCTGACTACAACATTCTAAAATGAAAATCTACAGCTCTGTGGTATTAAAGCAAGCTTTCAAGTTAACGCTTTTGCATGGTAGTAATTGCAACATGTGCATACATGTGTAATGTACAAAATGTTAAGAACTAAACATGCAAATTCATTTAAAGTGCACTAGAGAGCTACACCACTCATAGTAATGAGATGAATGATTCATAGTAACTATAAAATACGTGCCTAACCTCATGTACCTTAACAGTAATCTTCAATTACCTAGAACCGTTTCTCGGACAATAGAACCCCTTTTTCAGCTACTCATGTTGGTTTGCACTCTTTGGCAACCCGCTTCTGCTCTTTTTACCTTAGGCAAATAACACCAGAATTACTTGACCCAAGGACTGAGCATGGATGATATAATGGGCTATATTATTAACATCAATTTTTTGTGAAAATATTAATGTACAATATAGAACATTAATACAGAATTTTCATTACTCGCTTTGCTCCCAAGACAGTTGCGTTGAGTTTGCCGTCTGATTTCTGCACTTTGAAACTATCCAGTTCACTTCTAGATAACATCCACATGCATACAAACAAACAAAAAAGTGTACTTCCTTCTGTAAGTTTGCTGGAACAGTATTACTCCTCTTGAATGCTATTCTCAATGCCTAAGCATCAACCTCAAGGCTAAGACTCACTTAGAGGACATTATCGAAATTGAAACAAATTCCAAGTGCTAACAACATATGCACTCCAGGAATCCAGTTAAGTGTGTATCATAAAATGGAAAACCCAGGTATATTTAATCCACTCAGGATCACTCTGCAGCAGATAAAATAAATAGAATAAGAAAATAGCTTACATACAACTACCTGCCAGATACCACTTTTACCTTTGACAGAATGAGAAATTATATGGAAACATTCTGCTTGAACTGTCTAGCTATCTGCATACTTAATATCTGAACACTACCTTCCCAAAGAACACTCTCTATTCAAGTCTTCCTGCTTTTCAGAGAGAGAAACAGTTGAAAACTACACTAAAACACATTTAAAAAAAAAACAACCTACTTTGTAAATTAGTCATTTATTCAGACTAGTTACTTCTGTATCTGTAAGG